GTTCGTGTTATAGTAGAAGAGAAAAAGAGAGAAGAGAAGAAAAAATCAGGGGCATAATCATCATCATCATTTCAGCCGAAAGACATCCACTGCAAGACGTAGACCTCTCTCAAGGTTCGCCACAACAACCTGCCCTGTGCTGCCCCCATTCAAGGGCTTCCCGCGGCCTTTGCCAGGTCGTCGGACCACCTTGTGGAAGGCCTACCCACGCTGCGTTTTCCTACCTGCGTCTGCGATGCGGCGATGCCTAGGGTTCAGCCCAATACTGCGAGGCGCCGGGTCTTGTAGTGTAAGTGTGACTATTTATTGAAGAACGCTTGAGGCTATATAACGCAATGCTTTATCTTAAATTTGGCCTATACAGGCCGAGACTACTCTATTTCGATGCAGTGCATTCTACAAATAGGAACTGAGGAATCATCATAATTAATCAAATTACAGTTTTACAGATGTAAGATGGTTGAGTCTTTAAAATTTATATGAGATAAAATAAATTAGTGTGTTTTTTTTTTAATATCAATGTATAACCATTCCTGCAATAACCCGCAAGAACATTAAATTACAGGAAAACGGGAGTCAAAGCAGTGGTACTGCTTATGCATATGGTGGGTGGGTTTCTGTTATTGAGCTTTATATGTACTACCTAAAGTCACGAAATCAAGTGAATCACGAAAGCGGATAGGATTCCACAAGTGTTCAATTACGCGGCTCAACTCTTAAACTGTTGTGTACGCCGTTTACTTTTATTTTATTCCGAGGAAAACATTCAATGTTCATAGGTTTATTATCTTTTTTTATCTGTGTGTAGTTTTAAAGATATATCGCAGTCCCCGACGAACAAAATCGTAATAGGAAAATAACAATTTTACAGGAGCAAATAAAAACTGAATATCTTGAATACTATCAAGACTAAAAAGAAGATTCTTTTATCAAAAATAAGGAAATATTTTTTTGCACTAGATTTTTACTAAATTTTTATCATCAATTTTCTTTATCAGTAAGAAAATTGTGAAAATGTCCATTACTGAAATAAGCTATGGAAAAAATTAACGCAAACTAACTTTACGATAGTGTTCGACTGTAATCACAAATCGGTGTTGCTGTAGTAATCGTTCATTATGATATTGTTCCATGGTAAATATGAATATACTTTATATTCGTAAAATGACATTGCAATCTTATTCGATGATATAACTGACTTTAATATTACGGTAAACATAAATTATATGCTTATTCGATGATCATTTTTAGGTGTTATAACCATTTCGGTACCTATGTATAAATTCTGATTCTGATTCTGTCATTTTTCCCTCGAACAATATGGTAATAGCCGCTTACTCTAAAATGTTGACTTTTGAGATTTGGTAATAGGTTTTTGCGTTATTGATCGTGTAAATTTTTCACTTATGTTATACGTTGAACAAAAACATAAACATCATTATTGAATGGATAAATCCAAAAGTATTCATCGCCCGATCATAAAAAAAGGTCAATGATTGTAATAGGGTGTGTAGATAACGAATATCTAATAAACCCGATTCTATCGTAATAGCGATTACCATAGTGTTCGTCGGGGACTGCGATATTTAGGAAATATAGTAAAATTCGAGAGTGGTGTGTTTTAAAATATAGCGCTCATGGTAGTCATGGTGGTAATGTTAAGACGATTCGTTGAGGAAGGTACTTATTGAGGGTTCATTACGACTACTCGTAATACTTATTACATACTCATAAAATTAGTTTTAGAATACTATGTAATGTTAATAAGTTTTTTCATATCTTTTAGAAAAGTCAAATCAAAAAGTAGCTAACAAATAATGGGTTGGTATAATGGTTATAAAAAGGGACTAGACTTCCGCCTCTAGCAATCTCGCGGCCCCATACTTACTTTTTTTATTTGTCATAGGGTATACACGCTGTTGGTCCCTAAGAATGATATTGCGTTTGTTTATGAGTTTCTTGCTGGAAATCGGCATATTTATTCAAATGAACAGCCATAATCTGTTATTTATATTTCTGGCCCATGTTCCTTCAACACAGATAGACCTTCTGATCGGCCTGGATTACGCCTGATAACATGTTGCAGCTTATCAGTATTTTGACTGCTATGCCATAAGAAAACAGAATTACTTTTTAGAAAAAAATTGTTATCTGTACCTATATTTTTTTACACCCATATTTGATGTTGTCATTTTTTTAAAACTTTTTATAATTTAAACTATTTTAGCTAACATGTCTTTTAAAAATAAAGACCTTTATCGTTTGTAATGTCAAATATATATGTAAGCTATTTATTCTCACAGAAAAGTCCTTTAAAATTTTCCCCGGTTCAGGAATCGAACCCACTAAGGCTGCGCTTTGCAAATTTCACCCGTACGAAGTTGCGACTACCAGCTTGTTTTGTATAAACACAGCACACAGCTCGTGTTAAAACAAAGAAAACATTTCTACCTTAAAAAAACAGTTTTGAGGCTTACAACACACAATGCAACGTCATATGACGTGGCATTTACGTGGTGTCCATGTTTATTGTTATAGTATGTCATCAAAAGAGTAAAGAACTTAGGCATCACTAAATTATTAAAGGTATCGTAGGTATCGTATCACTCTAAACAATACACACTTCATTCATACGTTCCAACAAGTAGAAAATTATTCTAAATACTAGCTGAGACCCGCGGTGTTACCCGCGTTTGTTGTTATAACCGCGGGCAACGCCGCGGGGCGAAGCTAGTCTAAAAAAAAGTAGCCTAAGTTACTCCTAATGTCATCAGCTATCTGCCAGTGAAAGTTCCAGAGATTACCCGGAACAAAAAGACAGACAGACAAAAATTATAAAAAATCTTATTTTGGCATATGTACCGTGTAAACATACATTTGTATTCAGTAAAAAGCGGTTATTTTAATATTACAAACAGACACTCCAATTTTATTTATTTGTATAGAGTATGTATAGAGTATAGATGCCAGGTATCTATTGCAGGAAAAAAATACATTAGGTATGATATTATAAAACTGCACAAGTTACTCAATCTAGACTAAAGTTTTATTTTACATAATGAGTATAAACATGTCTGCAAAAACAGCAGGGGTGCAAGGGTATTTTCAGTCTCCGCTTGTTCTTTTTTTTGCAGGCATGTTAGTGTATAGAGCGCCGTTAGTCTGCACGTAGCTTTTTATTGCAACCGGTCATAGGTAGGCATAAACGTTCTGTTAATTCGGAGCAAAGGCATTCAAAAATGTTCAGTCATTGATGCATTTCTAATAAAGTATTAATAAAAGTCTTCAACGTAGCTTAGACGTTTTAGAAATGGCTCAACATTCCCTACACCTACTCCAGAGAGCAGTTATTACAGTGATTACACTTGGCTATGGCTCGTGGAATCAGATAAATTTAGCCCTTTCAGGAAGATTAACAAAATCAAAAAATAATAATAATAATGCAGACATCTAACACACAACGCCATCTGGTTTCAAACTAAGCAGAGCTTGTACTATGAAAGCTAGATTGACTGAGATAGAATATTTATATACTTTTTTTATAAATACATACATATTATACATAGAAAACACCTAAACTCCGAAACAAATATTTGCAGCGTGAAGCCTTCATACGCTCCATGGCCCGGTGGTAACAGATGTTTCACCGCGGTCTGCGAAGACGTCATCTCACAGAAGGAAGCGGCAATTGTTATCGGCGAGACGAGCGGTAGGTGAGATTTTGGTTATATGTATATTTTTTAACTCCTCATCTTTTCTACTCCTTCCATTCTCATCCTTTCCTTCACATTGACACTAATTACATCAATAATCCAATATTTCTAAAAAAATACAATTATTATAACAAGAACATGGAAAAGCGACGATGGAAAGATAGTACAATTTCATTGCTTTTGTTAGGTATATATAGAATATCTATAGGTATATCTTAATATATATAAATCTCGTGTCACAATGTTTGTCCTCAATGGACTCCTAAACCACTTAACCGATTATAATAAAATTCGCTCACCATGTGCAGTTCGATCCAACTTGAGAGATAGGATAGTTTAAATCTCAAATTATAGTCGCAATTTTAATTTATTGCTAATTATTTGTCTGTTATTATTTGACAGTCACAATTATCTGTTAACTCCAAATGCTTCTAACAGATGTCGATACCTTTCGACTGGGTTGAGTAAGTAATCAATAGATGGCGCTGCTATGGTAAATCTACGAACGTGTCATATAAGCTACATTTTAACAGCATAATTACCGCGTGTTGTTGACGCTATAAAATTAATTAAATTTATTTTGTAGTGAACGAAATACCGTATAATTCCTTTATTTCCACTTTTTAAATTTTTGGTGTATGTCGATACATTTCGACTGGGTTGAGTAAGTAATCAATAGATGGCGCTGCTATGGTAAATCTACGACCGTGTCATATAAGCTACATTATAACAGCATATTTACCACGTGTTGTTGACGCTATAAAATTAATTAAATTTATTTTGTAGTGAACGAAATACCGTATAATTCAATTATTTCCACTTTTTAAATTTTTGGTGTTAGCATAGCCGGCCACGTGTTACTTAGACTGAAGTGTAAATTGAATTCATATTATAAAAGAACAAGAGCAGCAGGAGAACGAGACATAGCCACAGTAGGAGCACAGGAACAATAATTTCAATTTATACATGTAAGTAATATCACATAGTTTTATAAAAGTTAATTAATATATCAATGAGAAAATGGCACAAAGCTCCCCACACTTTTTCAATAATTGTACAAAAATTTTTATATTATTTTTATTTAACCTCCATTGAAAATTATTTTGCACTTATTATTTCAATGTGCTATGATAACGAAAAAATCAGTTGTTTGCAATTATTTTGACGACATGTTATCCCTCGCAAGCACAAACTTTGTGGCAAAAATATAAAAATTGTATGACAGAAGTCATCTTGCACCGAATTAGACAAACAAATCAATGCCAAAACATAGATTATACACCAGAGATGTACAATGAAGCATTGGTCTTGATCGAGGATTTATGTGTTCTTATTTCAAATTTACCACTTAATCATTATGGTATGCCATCACCTAATCGTCCAGCCACCGACTTAGTCAATACCGATTTACAACGAGAAAATCAATATGACCATGGAAGTTTAGCAACAATTATCATGAACAGTGAACCATTACTGACAGCAGAACAAAAAATTATTTATGATCGGATTATGCTGGCTGTTGCTGCTGAACAAGGCGGTTTTTTTTTTCTTGGATGCACCCGGTGGAACCGGTAAGACATTTTTAATATCGTTGATTCTTGCCAAAATACGGTCGCAACAAAAAATCGCATTAGCAGTAGCATCGTCAGGCATTGCGGCTACTTTACTGGATGGTGGGCGAACAGCACATTCAACATTCAAGCTGCCATTGGACGTTCATAATAAACCAGATGCAATGTGTAACATCAAAAAGAATAGTGGAATAGCTGCAGTATTGCGGAAGAGTTCTATAATAATTTGGGATGAGTGCACAATGGCACACAAATATTCACTTGAAGCATTAAACAGAACTAAGATTTAAACAGCAATAATAAACTTTTCGGTGGTGCTATCTTACTTTTGTCTGGTGACTTCCGGCAGACCTTACCGGTTATACCTCGCTCTACTTTCGCGGATGAGATTAATGCATGTTTGAAACAATCATTCTTATGGCGAAGTGTTGAAACACTTCGATTGACCATAAATATGCGAGTACAATTGCAAAATGATCCATCAGCACAAATATTTTCCGAACAACTACTAGATATTGGGAACGGTAAAATAGAACTGAAACCAAATACGCAATGCATTAAACTACCAGACAATTTTTGCACTGTTGTTCAGGATAAAAATGAATTGATTCAGAGTATGTTCCCGGATATACAGAATAATTATTTGAATCATGAATGGCTTAGTCAACGGGCGATTTTGGCAGCCAAAAACGTTGATGTTGACGAAATTAACTTCCAGATACAACAGTTGTTACTAGGCGATCTGATGTCTTTTAAATCAATCGATACTGTTGTTGATGAAAATGAAAGTGTAAATTTTCCGATTGAATTTTTAAATTCATTAGATATCCCTGGAATGCCACCACATAATCTTCGATTAAAGATTGGTTCCCCTATTATTCTCCTCCGTAATTTGAATCCACCTCAATTATGTAACGGTACGCGTTTGGTCATCAAAAAGATCACAGGAAACATTCTTGAAGCAACCATTTTGGCTGGGAAGTTTAAAGGAAAAGTGGTCCTGCTGCCACGTATTCCGATGATACCATCAGATTCTACCATACCCTTCAAAAGGCTACAGTTTCCAATTCGTTTAGCTTTCGCCATGTCTATAAATAAATCTCAAGGTCAAACAATGTCCATTTGTGGTTTAGATTTGGAAAATCCATGTTTTTCTCATGGGCAACTATATGTTGCGTGTTCACGTGTTGGGAAACCGTCGAATCTATTTGTGTTAGCTAAAGACAGGTTAACCAAAAACATTGTGCACCGATTGGTGTTACATTAAATTGAAATTGAAAGTATTTATAATTCAAAAAAATAGATATTAATGTTTAAAAGTTTAAGACTGTCTGCTTTGCCTACCTCATTCATGAGTTTAAGCGTTACATGTTATTTACTGTATTATACTGTAATATACTTATATTTGTTATAAAATTAAATGGAAATAATAAATCTGATAAATTTTTATTTTGTACCTATTGAATTCTGCTTAATATCAAGTGTAAGAACATTTTAATTAATTGTGTTCAATGTACTTCCCCTTCAAATCTCAATCCAGTGAATTTGTATACCAACATCAACATCTTCGTCTTTGTTCGTAAATAATTTCATTGTACTAAAGGGTTATAGTAGTAGAAAGTCAAATAAGGAGATCACCATATTTTTTTACAAATACCATCTGTGTGAAAAAGCATAGTGGACTCCGTGACTGATGTTCTCTTATTGTTCCTCTTAGATTGTTTACTATAATGTAATATAACAAAAACTTTAGCCACAGCAACGCGTGGCCGGGTCAGCTAGTATGTATATATGGGTGTAAATAAACAGCCAAACCTCCTCTTTTTGTTTTTGTAGTCGATTAGTAAACCAGCTAAACGTTAAACGTATTTATACATCTCAATTTGCTCGGTAAGCCCCTACAAATCAAAGTGTATTTAATTTTGAATTTCTAGAAAGTTAATAAGTTTTTCTGTTTCTGATTGAACACTTTCAATTATTTTTCGAGCTCCGTGTCTCAAAAGGAAAATTGAACCCTTATAGGATCACTTTGTTATCCGTCTGTCCGTTTGTCTGTGAAGACCCTTTATCTCTTAAAATTAAAACAATATACTCAGGTCTACAGTTTCTTGAAGCTGTGAAAAAATCAAGTTTCTGCAGCAAAATCGCATACTTAGACACTCTGAAGGGAATTAAAATTTATAGGGTACTAGCTGACCCGGCCACGCGTTGCTGTGGCTAAAGTTTTTGTTATATTACATTATAGTAAACAATCTAAGAGGAACAATAAGAGAACATCAGTCACGGAGTCCACTATGCTTTTTCACACAGATGGTATTTGTAAAAAAATATGGTGATCTCCTTATTTGACTTTCTACTACTATAACCCTTTAGTACAATGAAATTATTTACGAACAAAGACGAAGATGTTGATGTTGGTATACAAATTCACTGGATTGAGATTTGAAGGGGAAGTACATTGAACACAATTAATTAAAATGTTCTTACACTTGATATTAAGCAGAATTCAATAGGTACAAAATAAAAATTTATCAGATTTATTATTTCCATTTAATTTTATAACAAATATAAGTATATTACAGTATAATACAGTAAATAACATGTAACGCTTAAACTCATGAATGAGGTAGGCAAAGCAGACAGTCTTAAACTTTTAAACATTAATATCTATTTTTTTGAATTATAAATACTTTCAATTTCAATTTAATGTAACACCAATCGGTGCACAATGTTTTTGGTTAACCTGTCTTTAGCTAACACAAATAGATTCGACGGTTTCCCAACACGTGAACACGCAACATATAGTTGCCCATGAGAAAAACATGGATTTTCCAAATCTAAACCACAAATGGACATTGTTTGACCTTGAGATTTATTTATAGACATGGCGAAAGCTAAACGAATTGGAAACTGTAGCCTTTTGAAGGGTATGGTAGAATCTGATGGTATCATCGGAATACGTGGCAGCAGGACCACTTTTCCTTTAAACTTCCCAGCCAAAATGGTTGCTTCAAGAATGTTTCCTGTGATCTTTTTGATGACCAAACGCGTACCGTTACATAATTGAGGTGGATTCAAATTACGGAGGAGAATAATAGGGGAACCAATCTTTAATCGAAGATTATGTGGTGGCATTCCAGGGATATCTAATGAATTTAAAAATTCAATCGGAAAATTTACACTTTCATTTTCATCAACAACAGTATCGATTGATTTAAAAGACATCAGATCGCCTAGTAACAACTGTTGTATCTGGAAGTTAATTTCGTCAACATCAACGTTTTTGGCTGCCAAAATCGCCCGTTGACTAAGCCATTCATGATTCAAATAATTATTCTGTATATCCGGGAACATACTCTGAATCAATTCATTTTTATCCTGAACAACAGTGCAAAAATTGTCTGGTAGTTTAATGCATTGCGTATTTGGTTTCAGTTCTATTTTACCGTTCCCAATATCTAGTAGTTGTTCGGAAAATATTTGTGCTGATGGATCATTTTGCAATTGTACTCGCATATTTATGGTCAATCGAAGTGTTTCAACACTTCGCCATAAGAATGATTGTTTCAAACATGCATTAATCTCATCCGCGAAAGTAGAGCGAGGTATAACCGGTAAGGTCTGCCGGAAGTCACCAGACAAAAGTAAGATAGCACCACCGAAAAGTTTATTATTGCTGTTTAAATCTTAGTTCTGTTTAATGCTTCAAGTGAATATTTGTGTGCCATTGTGCACTCATCCCAAATTATTATAGAACTCTTCCGCAATACTGCAGCTATTCCACTATTCTTTTTGATGTTACACATTGCATCTGGTTTATTATGAACGTCCAATGGCAGCTTGAATGTTGAATGTGCTGTTCGCCCACCATCCAGTAAAGTAGCCGCAATGCCTGACGATGCTACTGCTAATGCGATTTTTTGTTGCGACCGTATTTTGGCAAGAATCAACGATATTAAAAATGTCTTACCGGTTCCACCGGGTGCATCCAAGAAAAAAAAACCGCCTTGTTCAGCAGCAACAGCCAGCATAATCCGATCATAAATAATTTTTTGTTCTGCTGTCAGTAATGGTTCACTGTTCATGATAATTGTTGCTAAACTTCCATGGTCATATTGATTTTCTCGTTGTAAATCGGTATTGACTAAGTCGGTGGCTGGACGATTAGGTGATGGCATACCATAATGATTAAGTGGTAAATTTGAAATAAGAACACATAAATCCTCGATCAAGACCAATGCTTCATTGTACATCTCTGGTGTATAATCTATGTTTTGGCATTGATTTGTTTGTCTAATTCGGTGCAAGATGACTTCTGTCATACAATTTTTATATTTTTGCCACAAAGTTTGTGCTTGCGAGGGATAACATGTCGTCAAAATAATTGCAAACAACTGATTTTTTCGTTATCATAGCACATTGAAATAATAAGTGCAAAATAATTTTCAATGGAGGTTAAATAAAAATAATATAAAATTTTTTGTACAATTATTGAAAAAGTGTGGGGAGCTTTGTGCCATTTTCTCATTGATATATTAATTAACTTGAAATAAAGGAATTATACGGTATTTCGTTCACTACAAAATAAATTTAATTAATTTTATAGCGTCAACAACACGTGGTAATTATGCTGTTAAAATGTAGCTTATATGACACGTTCGTAGATTTACCATAGCAGCGCCATCTATTGATTACTTACTCAACCCAGTCGAAAGGTATCGACATCTGTTAGAAGCATTTGGAGTTAACAGATAATTGTGACTGTCAAATAATAACAGACAAATAATTAGCAATAAATTAAAATTGCGACTATAATTTGAGATTTAAACTATCCTATCTCTCAAGTTGGATCGAACTGCACATGGTGAGCGAATTTTATTATAATCGGTTAAGTGGTTTAGGAGTCCATTGAGGACAAACATTGTGACACGAGATTTATATATATTAAGATTGATTTGTAGAAAATAATTTGCCTAGATAATAAAGTAAAAAATAATAATTAAAAACTAAAAACAATCTTATAAGCAACCCGAAATAAAAAGAATAAAAAAATAATCTAAGGTTTGTGTTGTGAAAAAATATTACAAATAGTTTATTGGCAGTTATTTTTAGGAGTAGAGTTATTGTACAAACACAGTAAAAGACATCGCACACTGTTTTATAACACTAACTCTTTGCATTCAAGAAATATTTCTTCAGTTTTTATTAAAGGAAACACCCTAATACATACATACATTTAAAAAAAAAGTATAAAAGTATTACATCAGTCGTCAATCTATCTTTCATAGCACAAGCTCTGCTTAGTTTGAAACTAGATGGCGTTTTTTTTATTATGAGAACTCCCGCATTAGGAATATGGATATATATATTCCTAATGCGGGAGTTGTGTGTGTCGCGGGGGACTTTACAAACGTACTTGAAACGGACACAAAGAAGACCCTTATTCAGAACAACAATTCGTGGAACACACAAAGTGTCGTCGCATGTGGGGATCGGATCCACTACACTCAGCATAAGTAGTAGTAAGCGGCGTGACGATCGCTTAAACCACTACGCCGTCCGTGTAGTCGGTCAGTCGTGTGGTGTTCGAAATATTATTATTATTTTGATTTGTTTTACAGAACATCAAGAATCTCATAAAAAACAGCCTTTTATATAAAAATTTGTTAACACTTTGGTTTTGACTGACTCAATGATACAATGTTATTAAAAACCGGTTTTTGAATATTTTTGTAACAGATGAAATAAGTGACAACTTTGAAAATTGTAAAACAGGATTATAATTCATAAGCTAAAACAAACATTTTCTGATCGAGTAAATTATCTATATGCTGCATAATTTTATTTTTATTACTATCATAGAGTAAAACACATCATTAATATACCTTGCCGGTCAGAGCTGCAAGTCAGAGCTCAGTCAGAGTTGTTTCATCAACCCTCCAACCTTTCACTGCTAAGCCATCACCAAACCAGAAATTTATTCTGTATTAAATAAATTATGAGCAGGAAACAACAATATTAACAAAAGAAGTGTGCTTTCATTTTTTCCAAATTGTCTTATCACTCGGTCGAACCGGCCCATGTGTGCTGAAGCCTAGCTCTCCCTCAGTTAAAAGATCTTTTCGTGCTTACTTTTAAGTAAATAAATAAATTTAAATACACCGAGAAAAGATTTTTAATAACTCGCAATGAAAATATCCCAGAAACACTAATAATTTTATTGACAGTCTATGTTAGAAATAAATCAAAAATGAATGTTTGCATGTATGTTTGTGATATGATAATATGTGCTTACATCCTTATATTTTATGGTGAGTTATTTGTTTTAAATATTATCAAAGTAAGTGTACATGGTATAGAAAGGGAGTAGTCACATAACATTGATAAATACAGACTAAAATTGACTTACTTTACACATTGTACGTACGCCGCTGGCCCAGCGCATCCTCTATACAATCCCTGGGATGGGAACACCCAAATAATCCGAAACATTTTATTTCGAATTTCGATGTTCGGATTTTCAAAAGTCTGATTTTCATAATACCTAAGAATTATAATGGCCATTATAAAAATTCACGAAATTCATTTTACCAAAATCCTAAATGCGAATTGTTTGTTTCCTGAATTTTCATACGTTCGATACGCTCGATGGATTCTCAGTCAGAAAAATGACATTCTGATTTTCAATACCTCGAATAAACTGCTAATATTAGGATTCTGATTCAGTTAGTATAATATTAAGTTACGAATATATATGCAAAATCTATAATGCAATTCAAAAACGTCTACTTTGTAATTAATATTCGTGGAATAATATTTATTTTTGTGTTTTCTTCTTCCCCTTAAATATACCTGTGTCGGGTGCTATCTACTGTTATTGAATTCTTAGGATTACTGACGGAATAAAGTTTTTCGTATTATTGTAGTGTACCCCCCTGGGATACCTACAATACCTAGGTAACGTCTAAACAATATTATTCATACTATAGCATACTCCGTCTGGATGCTCTTAATACTATAGCTAAATTACACCCAGACACAAAACAAATGTTTAGTTTCATCTCACATTTACTTATTTGTCGTAGATGAAAATAGAACCCACGATCTCTGGGTTAGAAACTGGTCTAGACCAACAGGGTCGAATTGTTGGCAACATATAAATTTCAAAAATGTTGATCCAACTAATTACTCACATAAGAAGCCATTTTCTGAATGCAGAAAAATAACTAGCTAATATACTAGTAGAGTGTGTAACTTGCTATTAAGGTAAAGAAGTTATAATATCCACTTCTTGTAAAATCTCCATTTAAAATGGTTTTGTTCATCAAGTTATTATACCATTCCATTACTAAATAAATTATTTTCAGAGGGCATCTCCGCAATGGAACAGTACTTACGGTCAAATGGAACTTGAACAAGGTATAAATCACATTATAAAGAGGACTAAATTAATTCCACAACGATAACAACATCAAAACAGTCTGAATCAGCTGTGTGCGCTCTAATAAAATGGCATACAGTGTGCCAAGAGGCTGCGAGAAAACGATAATTTGGCAAGGCTTAAAATGAACTAATAAATAAAAATGAATTAAAGTGACTGTCCTGTTTTCTTTTAATTTTATTATAATCCAATGATTGAACACCAATATGATGACGTCATTGTATTTCTTAAATTGTGTGCCGATACTTCCGTTTTTATTGTTTACAAGATACTAATTTGACTTGACAATCAGAACGCAGAGAACTTAGGTGAGGGGATTATTCCAGTACAGTTCTACAAACTGATCATAAGTTAATGAAGATGTAGGTGTTAAGTATCACAGTGATAAAATAATGTTTCTGTACATAAAACTGACTTTTCTACTATAATATAAGTATACGTGTATTTGTACAATTATACTACCACTGGGTATTAAAATGTTTTAATCATCTCAGATCCCACGTGTTTTGGAGGGAAAGGAGAATATGAGTTAACTTAAATATGACCATGAGCTATCGTTAACTTTGTAATTAAGTAGTAAACCACCTGTGTTCGAAGCACTGGGTGGTATGTTGCAGTTGCGGGTCTAAACGTATACTGTGAGGTTTTCAATATTCATACATTCAGTGACTAGCTTTAATTTCAACGTAGTTCAAAAATGTTACAATCTATTTGTAATTTTCGTAATCTAGTACACCACATACATATGCCAAAGAATGTTCTCGACAGATTTCAAAGAACTAGATTGATGGTCTGAGGCCTTGTTTTTCTCATAACGGGAGTTCTGGAACTCTTTCCACTATTTCATTTCCTACTACAGTTTCTCACGGTAGAGTTCAACCGAACACTAGGGACTAATCCCACGCACACGCCCACCACTGTAACTCCTGTACACCAGGATCCACAGCAGTGACCCACGAACACACCGAGTTATGACACTCGAGAAGTCCCAGGAAGAAATTAAACTGTCTTGGAACCCGCAACGAAATTAATCAGAAGAAAATTGGAGGAGTTGGAAATACAGTAAATCCACTTCCCTCCTTAGCAAAGCGGGAGACAAAATGAAATAAAATAGGCATACACCCTTTTAAACAGGGAAGCACCACGGCCCAAATATATTACGGGTCCTACGTGAGCCATATTTGATTTCTAAACCGAACAACCGAACACTAGTAGAAAAGTGGTTTGTCTCTTCAAATGGTTTCCACAGCAGTGATGGTGATAAAGTTTAATAATAATTAGAGTCGTCCTAGCTTACCCACGTGTTAACAGATTGGTACACGATCCGAACGTTAAACGGCTTGTAAAACGTTCTCGTGAATAATTGGGTTTTATTTTATTGTTATTGGGTTCTGTAAACTATCTCTTAAATGTGTTAGGGTTTTGGTTATATACTATAATTGTTATATACTAATATACTATTATTGTTTTTACTGCTTTAAGTAAGAAGCCCAGAACAATTCACTTTTGGTTTTCGTGGTACTGGTACTGGTACTGGTACTGGTGGAATCTGATACTAGGGCGGGGCTTGAGAGACTAGCCAATAGATGTTTGAACTTGATATCTCAATGGGGTGAACGTAATCGCTTAAAATTTTGCACCCAACAAAACCTTCCAGCTACTTTTAAAAGGTAACCTCAAATCACCGCCAAGCATTAGATTTGACAATGTTACTGTAAAAAATAAGGCCTCAGTGTG